CTTGTTGCACCTACATGGCCCGGGACTCTTGATACTGTGGATGGACCAAATCCTGCACCACTTTGAAACCATTGGAAATCATTTATTGTTGGTATTAAAAAATCATCATTCCACTGTGTTTTGGGTGGTGCAAGATTTCGTCCATCCACAGTAGCTCTCTAGAATTTTCTGTGTCCTTCTGTTTCGCTTCTACTGTTGGCCCTCGAGTGGCAATCTGACCTCTTCGCCCCCATGTCACTCATCTTAAAACTGCAGCCCATGGCACCGGGGGCTTGAGCACCAAAAGATGTGAGTTGCGCGGCCCGGTCATCCCGCACGTCCCAAGCAACAAGGCCAACGAGGCCACACGGCCATTGTCAGCTCATCAGCTGGCATGGGCAAATCATGAGGAATGTAGCAACATGGACTCTTGACGTGGAAACTGAGCCAACAACTTGTCCTGGGCACATTGTGGACTCTCAATGTAAACAAGGTTTATCCTCCGTTTTCTATCTCCTTACAGTACTCAAGCAGACTCGGGAGGCTTTGAGCAAACTATTGAAAGGCTATCCGCCTGCCAAAGCGCTTCACATGAAGAAACCTGCGCAACTCCAAGAGCTGTCTAGTTGTTAGGCAAGCGGAATGGGGCTAGGGACTGATCTGCCAGGAATCCGCATGCGAAGACAGCACGCGGAGGATGGTGTCCATGAGCCCATCTCATGGCGTTTGCCGATGTGCTTTCTCGAGGCTGCCAAATCGGGCTTGAATCATGCGAACTCGACTCAGTCCTGAAATTTTCACCCCAAACCTATCTTACTCTCAAACGATCTTCTAAAGGAAAACCTAGAAGGAAACGGCCGGCCAACCCCGCGGAACACTGCCCCATGCTCCCCAGGCCCCCTCCGGGGTCGCTCGCGCGCGCCGAAAAAATGCGGCGGCGGCGCTTGGCGTCCTCCGGCCGCAAGGGCTTGCGGGCACCTGGGATCGATCCGAGCGCCTGAGGTGTCCAAACGAAGGTGCTTTAAGGGCAGCTCAAAGAAACGTCCAGCCGATGCAAGTCGAGCAGCTAGCAAAGTCGCGGAACGGTCACCAACTATCTTTCAGGAAATCCAAGACAGTCACCTACACGCATGCTTGCTCCCAGCTGGGTCTTTCTGAATTGGCCAGCCAAAACAGTCAAGGAGCAAGCGGTGTTGAATCCTTGCAACAACAAAAATGGAAGAACGACATGAAGAAACGGTCCTAGGAAACACTTCAAAAAGCAACAAGCATAGGATTGCCAAAGCAGCTGCTCGTGCGTCTCTCTCCTTCTCTCTCCGCTTTTCTCCGTCAGATTGATATTCGGAGCTCCGCGATGTGACAGTTGATGTTGTGGGATGGAGCACCACTGCTGCTTTTACGTGCATGGCAAGTATCCAACGATGCTGTTGTGTTGACTAGCGAAGGGTTTGGTTCCTCACTTGTTGGCGTTTTGGAAGCAAAGATGCAAGTCTGCCACTCATGCACGGAGCCCGGAAGCAAGCGCATGACGCTGATCTCAGCAACCAGCTCAAACTAGAGTCGGCGCTTACGGAAGCTTCAGCTGGCAACAACAAGGGCCAGACTGCTGAGCAACGTGCGTAACCCTGGTTACAACTCAAAGGACTCTGGTTACAAAACTTTGAGCAGGTTACGCGCAGAAAGTAGCTCTCTCTCTCTCTCTCTCTCTCTCTTCTTACGGTGCAGGAGACGTTCAGTAACATTGGAAGAAAATGGACTTCGGCAAAAGGCCAAGAAAACAAACCAAGTCGAATGTCTATTCTTGGGGGTTGGTATAGCAATCATCACGGCAATCCTGTGCATGTGTGCTTTTCTCGACTGCTGACTCCCTTGCAACAGTTCAAAGCCGTTGGGCAATAGTTATTTTATTTTTCAAAAAAAAAAAGTTTCTTCATTCAGATTCACAGTCCCAGGCCATGCGATGTTTGCCCAATTCAACAAAGGTCAACAAGTATCCTTTCCGTGAGTTAAGCCTTCCACCTGTGGGCTCCCTGTATTGTACCCTTCCGCAACGAAAACGTTTGCCTCGGAAAGGAGCCTGAAGCATCCTGATTCCAACGGCATGGAGCATCCAGTCAGGTATCCACTAGAAGAAAAAAGACCCCACACCACCAAGCGCATTGTTGGGTGAGTAGCTAGCCAACAAAAGGGGATACAGTACATTCTTGGTGGGTATCATTGGCTTAGAGCTGTGACGTTACGGGTGCCCTCAGCCAGCACGCTTCGCGCGCAGGCGCGCAGTTCTAGCCGCCAGACTTTCTGGGGCCCCGGAAGCGGGGCCCTTGAAGCATGAAAGGAAGCATTGCCAAGTATTCCAAAGCCAGCTGCGATCCATGTGAAACTTGTCCGGACAAGAGGGCCTTTCAAGACATCAGGAGGATGCTTGTTGCTGCAATCAAAAGGACATCTCGTGAGGTTTGGCTCTCCCCAGCAATGAACTGCCACGACACGGTGTGGTGAATTACTTGCCTGCGTCTGCATCACTTGCGAAGGGAAGCAAGCCCTCTTGAAAACAGGACTTGCAGTGTCTACAAGCCATTTGGCGTTTACACGGGACCTAATCTTGACACAAGCCAAATGGGTGAGTCCCCTGGGAAATTGAGTTTGTACCCCCACGTGCTCAATGGACATAAAATTGACAGAACCTGACAGGTTGCCAAGTGGGGCACATGGATCACGGACCGTTCTTGGGCAACTGCCGTTTCATGCACGGCGTTAACTCGCCCGCAACATGCTCCAGGAACCATTGACTGGCGAGGCAGACCCGAAACGACCACTAGGCCCTCATTTTTTGCCGGCAGTCATCCCTGGGCAAAGCCCCTCAGGATGTCTGCTCAACGTTGAAAGGGTGCAACGTGGTGGACACAAACCTTGCTATGCAAAGAATTCCAGCTTGTGCACTGTCGCATGTTGATGCAGCAATAAACAGCTTCTTGCCAGTCTGTGTGGGCGCCTGATGCCAGTGCCAGCAACTGGAAACTCTGAACATGGGATTTATGTCTGCAACCTGTGACTGCGAGAAGCCCAAAGGTGGAACACATGTTTTCTGGCCCGGACATGCCCTGGTTCAGAACTCGATGCAGAAGCCCTGCTGCTCTAGAGCAATCTGGAATCAGTTTGATTGCTCGAATCCCAATCAACACTCCCGGAGCATGTCAGGAAGATGGATTCGGGGCGCAGCCACGTCTTTCAGAGTTGTCTGATCCAACTAGATGGCAAAAGCACATGACCACATTCAAGAGTACAGCCTGTGTACAAAGCTGGATGGAATGAACACGTGCCGAGGACTACACATGTCTGCTTCAAAATCAACCGTCTCTGGCCGCACCCTCATCTTGCATCCAGATTGGTTGATTGATCCACGCACCTAGGCTTGCATAGGCGGCTTCATGCAGAAAGCAAAGTGCTCTGTCGCAGCAACCACGCAGCCACAACACATGCAAAAAGCATGGCCCATCCCCCTTTGCAGTGCTATGGCTGACAGGCTCCGAATGGAAGTCAGCGCCTGTTCCTAGCAAACTCAAACAACTAATTGCTTCATGGCCGCCCCTTTTGATTGGTGCAAAAAGCAAACATCCAGAAGGCCCGCAAACTTCAGACGAAGCCATTTGCCTTGGTATTCGCACACATACACACAGACACACGTGCGCACGCACACACTCCTAAATTGCTTCATGGCTTCGGAATCCCATGTTTAGCACCTCAAAGCCATGTCCGGGGCTACGCATGTGGGCGTGAGGGGAAAGGTATCCGTGTTGACGGTTGCTTCTGTAAGGGTTCTGAATGCCTCAAAAGAAGTTCTCGGTGGCTTTGAACACAGCTAGGTTTGCCTTTTGCCACCTTTGAGGCAAGTTTGGCATGCCTTCGGATTCACATATCTTTTGGAATCCATTTCAGGGCTTGTCATGTTCGCCTTCCAGGCTTCCCTTTGAACCTGCCAAAAACGACTTCCATTTGCAGGACAACCCTGCCGTTCAACCAGGCGGCTGGCAACTCCGTCCGGTTGAAGGCGCGCGGGTCATAGAAACGAGCCCCTGGCAGGAAGGCGCGACATACAAAGCGGGCTGCTTTCAACTGGGCTCCGGGACCCTGTAACAAGTCACCCTACCCCTAGTTGGTGGTTTGGATTTTCGTGGATTGGAGGTTAGGGAGTGGTGTCCCATGTACCCTCGACAAGAACACGGTTCACAGTTGCAACATGCTTTTCACATCCACAAACCAGAAAAAAAGTCACCCCTGACTCCCCGACTTCACAAAGAACAAGGGCGCAATTTGCTACCACGGGGAGCTTGTTATATACACACCAGAGACCATGGCTCCCGGGAATTTAGACGTCAAGCATGATGCGTTTTCCGCAAGCCCCAGCTTTGTGATTTGCCCAAAGGCATTTCTCCTCTGCCCCCGCCTCCTTCGCTCCGACGCCGGTGTCACAGCCAACACGGAAAAGGGCGCCAACCCGGCCTCGCACTCGGCCGGTGGGCAGTGCGGCTACTTCTGTCCACTGAAAGGCCTTCTCAATGACCATTTCTTTCAGGGAGGTTCCCTACCACAGAAGTGGGAAAAGAATCACAGAGGTTGCCCCAACTCTGTTGGGGATCCAGTTCACCTCTGCTTCCCTCGCAACGAAAGGGTGACCGCAACATTCCACACAGCTTCGTACGTGTCGGAACTCGGGACAACCCTTTCGAGAAAGAGCTGGAATCGGTTCAAGGGATCGTGTATTAAAGCAAAGGAAACCCACGAACCGGGGGATTTAAATCTGGCAACGTGCTTTGGATCGCACACAGGAAAGGAGCCCTGGCCCGCACAGGCTGAACCATTGAAGCCGCCATTTCAAGCGACTTGTGGCCACACCGAGCTGTGGCCACAGAACTTGCGCTAGCTATGTGTGTTTCCGGTGGGAACCCCCATGGTTCACAAGCCGTTGTCGTCCTCTTTAGAGTGCTCAAAACGGGTCACCACACCAAAAGCCGCCAGGCCACCATGGAAGCCTCCAGGGTCTGCAGTTTGCACTTCTCGGCCTCGGCTCAGGCGTCTTCCGGAGCGGCGAGTCTCATGTTTGATGCCGGCTGGGAATGACATGCTCGGTTGTCTCGGCTGACGTCAACTCTCTGGTCGGGCAGCACAGTTGGAAGCCCAAATGTTAAGTCCCACATGTTGCTGGCCTGGTCCCCGCTCACAGGAGCCCAAGCGGCGAACACATCATACTCCTGTTTATTCAGCATGGCCATTTGAACCACGCCGCCCGCCCGGCTCCGAGCTAGCCAAAAGCTCGCTTGGGCGCAGACCCTCAGAAAAAACATGCCCCGCCGCCCCCAACCTCCAACCCCCAAACCCCAAACCATAGCCCCAACCTCCCAACGCCTCACACCCTCCCCTCAAACCCACCCCCCAAACCAGGTCCAAGGCACCACCAGAGCCTTGGCTCGGTCCAGCACCGGTGCGCCCCCCAGCTGCGCCGCCTGCAGCTTGCCGCACTCCGAGGAAGTCCAGGCCTCGCGCTCACGGCACAGTCAGTCAGACGTTGACCGAAACGTGGCCACGATTCGGCCCACCCAGCCGAATCGAAAGTCTCACCGACATGCTCGGATCTGGCACAAAAAGCGGCTGCCCTCGCTTCGGCCGCAAGTCGGCCGCTTCGGCCCATCGGCCCATGGATCGCCCAGCCTCGGGCTTGGCGCCATCGGTGAAGCCGTAGATCTGAAGCGGCTCGATTTCGGGGAGCTAAAGAGCTAGAGATGGTTCGCAGAGTCGCAGCTCACAACTTTCTATACTATCAGCTTGACATCTGTGGGCCTTTGAAGTTCGGGCAAATCCCGAAGTCGGACTGTTGAAAGAATGAAAAGCTGATTATCTGGTTGAGGGTATGTATCTCTTCCGCTGCCGCTAACATTTGGCCATGAAAACACAATCCCCGCCAGACTGAGTTTGGTCTAGCCTCGCTGACTGGAGGGTCCTGAAAGACAAGTCTCCGTAAAAGCGGCCCCTTTGGTGGGTTCCATCGACAGGAGGACAACTGCGTCTCAACCGCTGGCGACCGCGGGCGCGCAGGAGTTTCATGGTCCCTCTTGCGGAGAGTCCTTTAAAGCGAAACCAAACCTGGTGACGAGCGCCCCCAGAAACCCAGCTTCTGGCTGGGGAAGCTCATTCCCAATAAGCCTTTCAGGTTAAAAAGAAGATCCAACCCTTTCAAGAAGAGGAAGCCTTTTCGGGGAGTCCCCGAAAGCCCAAGGTCGAAGATAGATTCCAGCAAAGGACGGCGTCCCTCTTCGGGGGGAGTCCCGAAGTTGCCTCGCCTTGAAGTAGACCTCAGCGCCCGGGTTGCTCTGCGCCTTGTAGTTGATCAGCAGCTCTTCGCCTGAATCCCCCGTCGGCTCCCCATGGGTCCCATAGGTTGGGGATAGCCCATGGGTTGAGAGCCAAGTCCAAAAAACCAGAGAATGGGAGAACCAAGTGATAAGTTGCCAACCAAATCGGCCCCATATCCTCCATGGGTGGATAGCCAAATACAGAATTGAGAGAACGGGAGAACTACATGGGAACGAGACCTGGGAAAGTCAAGAAGTAAAGTGGGAAGGTCAAAGCCCTCCCACTTTTCCCCGGGGGGAGAGTATAGAACTGCCCCGATGTGGCCGCGTCTTTCTTGGACTTGGTACCCTTTTTGACGTTTTCCTCAAGGGTAACCGAAGAGAAGCCATCTGTTTTGCAGGTTGCCCCATCTGGAGACACCCCACTGGTGAGTTGACCGTTTGCCGCAGTCTGCTTTTGCACCTGCCACATCTAGGCAATCAGCACCCAAATTGGCCACCCATCCCTTTCACTCATAGCTTCCAAGCTCGGAGGTCAGCCATTCCCCCAGCCGCCCTCGCCGGATGGGCAAAAGCGTTGCGTTTCAATGAGGGGCCCTGTCTTTCGAACATGTTTGCTGGGTGATATAAACATATTTCACCAACCGCAAATAATAAGAGGCTGCCGGTTGAAGGAATCATCATCGTGGCGAAGTCACATCTCTGGCACTAGATGCAAAAAGATGTTAGTCTGAAGTCTCATTACAGCACTTAAATCACAAGGGGGGCCAAACTTGTTGTCCAAGCCCCAAACCTGTTTTATAAACCTCCACCTCATTCGTTTGGTCTACGGCCAAAAAAGCCGGCGTCTTGCCAACCCAAGGCCTGGCTTGATGTCCTCCTTGGCGATGAGCGACAGCCTGGGCTTCTCTCTTCTCGAGTGGGCAATAGCAACTCATGAAAACTGTTAGACAAGTGTGTATATATATATATATATAATGGGTGCTTTATAAAGACCAAAAATTGGTTATACATATAAACAAACAAACAATTGAGTATTTATTTAAATATGGATGTGTTATAAAACAACTAAAAATTGGTGACACGGAAAAAGACGAACATAACGGTTATTATGCTTCCCCTCTTTCCAAGAATCAAAGCTGCCACAAACTACGGCCCCCTGTCCACCTCCATGTTGGAAAGAGAGGGGCGGTCTTAACAAGCAGCATAGGGTCAAAATGTTAAACCAAACGGCTTGGTCATAGGAACCTTCGCACAATTCTTTAGCACTTTAATTATAGGGGATGGGTATATGCATCTAAATTAGACTCTGTCCACAAAAACGATGCAATGGATGCGAGAATATGAGCCGACTTTGGACCCGTAGAAGCGTCCAAGAGACATCATATGGCAGGTGCTCGGAAACGTCCTTGTGTGCGCCCCCATCAATGTAGCGATTGAAACCCACCACCCACCCCACAACCCCCCGAGCCGAGCTGCTTGGCGTTCTTGCCGGAGTCGCAGGTCCACCTAGTGGGACCGGCTGTGGGGGCCTTCATGGTGTAGAAAAGCCGCTCACCCGGACAGATGCTCCCACGGTCATAAAGATCCGGTCAAACATGCGGCCTACACTACTGGACGTGGGAAGATTCGAGAGGCATCTCTCTTCTTAGGTCTTGCGGAATGTCTTTTGAGTCTTTGCATGCCCCTCCCAACTTGACCATACACTTGATGCGATAGTTCACCCAACCGCAAAGAAGTTCAGACACCTGCCCACCCGCCTGGCATTGGGCTGGTGGCTGTGGTTCACCAGGTCGGCCACCTGACCGCTCCGTGAAAAAGCCCAAACTTGTGGGTCCTGGACGATGTCAAAGCGTCCCACCATATAAATTGCCGCATCCGTAGAGCAAAGCTGGAACAATTGACACCATCAGTCATGAGAGAAAGTGTGAGCCTTTCATCCGTGTGGTCTGAATCCCTGACACCTGCAATTGTTCCTTCAACCCTCCAAGAGAAGGACTCCTGAACAGGGCGTGTGTAAAACAAAAAAAAGAAGGGGTGCCCCCATAGATCCAGGTCTTCCTTTTTGGGTCTCCCTTCAACCCGACCTCAAAGAAAGAAGTCGGCAAAGCCACAGGCCCCCGCCCCCCCGCCCCCACCCCCCGGCCCGGCCGGCGCCACCACGCTGACGTCCTCCCCGCAGCTGAAGCCCCGCGTCCTCGAGTCGAGCGGGCAACGACCCCATCAAATCCATTGCTTCAGCCCTCGGCAAAAAAGGAAAATATGTCCAGTAGTGATAGATTCCCTTAAAAAACAGCAAGGGAAAATAGAAAATATTCTTGAGCAAATGCATGCCAAAAAAGAAAGACTGAAAATGGGGGGGATTCCCTGGGCTCACGGCGATATCCTGTGGCAAGTGGGAATGGTTTGGATTCCCTTGGCTCATTGGTTGTCACACTGCACGTGTGCTACTTGATCCTTGGTTGCGGGGCTTTGAGCTCAGGCCGAAGGCCGACCTCTCTCCCAATTCCCAAACCAACTCCGACACCACCCCACCACCCCACCACCTCACCCAACGGCGTCAACGTCCCCCCAAGAGCCCAGCTCACCCCCGGACCATCGACCCCCTCTCCTGACCATCATAGCGCCCCACAGGGCCTCCTCGAAGGTGAGCGCAGCATGCTCCCCGCTCTTCGCCACCTAGCCAAAAGGAGAAGCTGCTCCCCAGACTCACATATAAAACGCGAAAAAGGGGACCCCAACAAGGAAGACTCCTCTACACATGGGCAAAGGGCTGCAGGAATTGCTCTCTGCGATACAAATGGAAGTACGTTCTTTTCCATGACTAGTTCTTCCCCTAAAGCTGGTGGCGGATCTTGGGTATCATCGAAAATCGGGTTTCCCCGACCCCGCATTGCTGGCTTCACTGTAAGGGGGAGGTTTTTAATAGAAGTTTATAGAAGTGGCTGCGAAGAACCACCTTTTCCCCAGACCCGACCAAACGGCTTGGCGAACAGCGATGGAAGGCCTCGTGGTTGTAATGCTCCAGGTCCTTCACAAGGCTCAACCGCTGGGCGCTCACCTGCGCTGCATGGGTCTGGCGTTGCTTTTTTTTTGCTGTACCCTTGTCTGGTGGTTTTAAAAAAAAAGGCAAACAACCCGGGTCCCCTAAAAAACGACAGGACCCACATGTTTGGCTCTTCCTTCTAAAGCAGCCAAACCGCAGCTGCCCCGGGTTTTTCTCCCCCCCCCCCAAAAAAATAGCAAAACATATTTTGAATGAAGTAAAATAAATTTCATAACAACTTAGCAAAATATAGAATATAGGTTTATAATTCAAATATTAAATAAGGTTAATACATTATTCATATTCATTAACCTTATCTAGGTACTTGAAAAATAATTTTACTTCATTGAAATATTATATAAGGTTAAGAAGCTATTCTACATATTAACCTTATACAATTTTATGTAAAATATCTATTAATAAAAATAATGTTAATTTTCTTCTGCCTGTTTCATTTCTAAATTTCTTTTATGCTTATTTGTTTTAAGATGTTGCTTTTTTAAACATTGAGAAAAATAACAGTCACAAATAACACACTGAATTTTTATACTGTTCCATTTTCTATTACTTTCAAGTGTTTTATTTCTATATTCATCATCTTCTTCATATCTTTTTCTTTGCTCCTCATTGTATCTATCTTTATGTTTAATTCGGTTATTCCTTTTGTTTTCTGAACATTGCCTGCATTGTTTATTCTCTTTATTAAATTCGTCAAATAGTTTCATTCTACCACAGTTTCTACATAATTTTCCATTATCAGTTTTGAATGAACCGTTTTCCAAAATTCCTTCATACATTTTACCTTTAATTAAAACACAAATGTTTCCTTCCATAGTTCTTATAATACAATGTCCTTAAACCTTTAAATACATTTTAAGAAATTCCTATAATCAATATTCCTTGAAACTAAATTCCCAAAATCCCAAATCCCAAAATCCCCATAATTTCAAAACATAAATCTTACAATGTTTTTTATTGTAAGGTTTATGGGTTAATTTATCATTTAAGTTCAGGATAATAATTTAATTGACAAATCTCACTTATGTCATACATCATTTTAAAAATAATATTAATATCTCTCACTGTATTTTTAACATTAAACTTTTTATAAATTTCAATATAATATTTGATATATTCTTTAATATCATCTCCTTTCTTTTGACTATGACACAACATCAATAATATATCAGAAATCATTACATATTTTTTCTTACTGATTTTAAGAAACTGTTTAACATATTCGTAAGGTGGTAATTTATTTACAGTTAAAAATATCAAAATGTCATCTTCTACATTTCTATTATGTCTTCCTTTTAATCTCAACAAACATTTGATTATAGCTTGGTTATCTCTCCAGGTTTTACAATTTTCACATACATCTTCTTCACCCATTGAATAATCAATAATATTATTTATTATTCCATTAGGTAAATTTAATTTATACAATTCCATATTTTCTTTTTTGAAGTGGCAACAGTCATAGCATTTCTTATTAATATACTTATTGATTTCAATACCGTTCATTTCTTCACTAATATATTAAGTCACTATTTCCTTAAGTCATTTTCAAAGAATGAATATAAACTTAAACTATTAACAAAAAATACAAATCATAAATCTTACAATTTATTTTTATTGTAAGGTTTATGGATTAAAATAATAGTCAGGCAATATGTGTTCAAATATGTAATCTACATATTTATCTATATCATCAATGTCTATATATTTGATATTTTCTTTTCCTATTATTGAATAAATATATTCCCAGAAAAACAAATTAACTAATAGACATACTTTATATTTAGTGTTGTAGTAATACCATATACTATATTCAGTTACTCTAAATTCGTTCAAGACTTCATTTATTTTATCTTTGTCTAATAAATGCCAATCAATCCATTCAAACAAATAACGGTATTTTTTGACAAATGCTTTGTATGGTTTAATTGCGTTTATTCCTCCAAACCTCCTAATTAAATCTATATTATTAAAGAATTCATCAATTTCATGTTCAAATGACTTTATGGAAATCTTCTGGTAAAAGTGTATAGGAAATCTTGCTTGGTGTCGCATAAAGAATTTTAATTGTAATTGAAACTTTGTATATCCCTCATCCTTATGTTCTTCAACAAAAAACTTTTCAAGGTCTCTTGTTATACAGCATTGATTGCAATATACATTATATTCACTTATTTTATTACATACATTGTCGGGTAATAACTTATACAATGTTATATTAACATCATTCTTTATATTTTTACAGCATTCGCACTTGTTATAGTTAAACAACATTTCACTATAATATATTGAGTCATTATTTCCTTAAGTCATTTTTAACGAAGTACACGAGATATTTTTTGTTTTTGTATTTCTATAAGTCTTTCATATCCTCTGACCACTCCGCCAAAACTAAACACATAATTTACGGAACTTTCACCTGCTAATTCACAAGTTTTTATTAATTCATTAAAATCTTTTTTCAACTGCGTCTCATCATGTTCTAATTCAAGGCATGATTTAAACCCTTCATAAAAGTCTTTAAAGTATTTAACATCTAGCAAAGCATATTTATCTCTTTCACCTTCATAGTGTTCTTTTACCTTTCTCATTTCTTTTATTAATTCTATTCGTTCCTTTATTTCTGCGTGTATCTTCATTACTACATTAAGTCATCATCTCTTTAATTCTCCAGTGATGACTATGTCATCATATTATTCCATTTTCAATAGAATAATGACCATATGCTAAACTATCACCTGTATTAGTCCAGTATCTTTTATTTTCATAACTATTCAAACTAATCTTTGTTGTTCTAATACTATAAATTTTATGGTTTTTACTTCTAATACTATTGAATGATTTATGTATAACTTCATTAGTTTGTAAAACCTTATCATATTCTTTATATGTCAGTTGCCTCCTCACTATGTGCTTTGCTGTGCCCTTGCATTTCTTATGTTCTTTTTCTTCTCCATAGATTTGAAAAGCGTAACACTTAGGACGAAGTCCAATAAACCCTGTAATAATTTTGCTACTGCATTCATCCTTAAATTTACCCAACGTCTTTTTATTAGTAGTATCATAGCATTTATGATAAATAGGATAATCTGAAAAATCCATTTCATCTTTAATATCATGAAGATCTTTATAAATGTCATCAGTCTTAGTATGAAATACAAAACTATCAGTGTCAGTATAAACCATTCTAATATTATCTCCGTATTTAGGTTTCATAACATCATAATAAAACTTATACATATGTTGCTTACTCAAATCTAAAATACTCATTCCAATGAATATAGGTTTATCTAATTTCAATTGTGCTTTTTGTTTCTCAACTCCTACTAAATTATCGCTGATAATATGACTATGTTTAAATGATGGATTATTAACACATTTCATAAATCTTGTTTCATCACTCACTATTTCAAAATCTAAGTGTTTCCTTTTGTCTTCCATCGTTTTTCCGAACACGGCATTATTCATTAATTTGTAAACATCTTTCTCAAAATCATTGTTGGCATTCTTTCTTTTCTCAGTGTTAAATTCAATGTAAGGTTTTAATATCTCTTTCTGACTGAATTTTATTGCTCTGTGTATTTTCTTTAGTTTCAATCCGTGTTTTAAATAAAACTGTAAAGTTCTAATATGGACTACGTACTTTTCTTTGTCTTTTAAATTCAATATTAATTTATTAGTTTTTTCATCTTTAGGTTTTTTCTTATTCAGTATTTCATAAATTTCAACTTGTTTATCTGATAACATATCTGCTTTAACATTCATAATTTCAGGTGCCATTGGATAGTCATTGTGTAAATCGTGCAGTTTTTTAGGGTATTCTAAATCAACTTCTAAGATGTATCCAGTATTACCATTAGCATAGTTTAAAATATCATCTTCTGTTATTTTAGTATCCCACTTTAAATTTTTGTATGGCAGTTTTTGTATCATTGCTAATCCATATAAGTTATTAGCATCAAAATAGTTAATATAACTACTTTCTTTGCTTTCATCAAAATCATCGCCCATATAAATATTATTTGCCTCTACTTTCTTACAGGCAGTCTGTGTCATCCCACCACGAAGTCCGGTCTCTATCATTTCATACATATCTTGGTCATAAACTAAATCTATTTCAACACCAGTTAATTTTAACATAGCATCAAAAGCAAAATTAGGCAGTGTGTAATAATATACTGGATCTAAACCGTAATCTTGAATACATACATCTCTAAAATTTTCAAAAATATCAGTTAATAATAAAACATCTGTTTTCAAATACAAATCGTGATATTCACCCATGTTTTTAATCTTAAAGTGTTTCCATATTACTTTTGCTTTTTCATAATCTTCATCCGTTATATTATCCTCACTTAACCTACTGTAAAACATATCTTTAGTTGGTAGACTTTCATCTTCAAACTTTTCTATTGAATTCATATAGTCATATGGATAAACTCCTTTCTCTGTTAATAAGTCCAAACATTTTTCACTTTTAATAATATCATTATTTTTACTAAATCTGAAATTGTTCTGCCAGTTGTCTTTTATTATCCATTTTCTTTTATCTTTATCATCTGTGTTGTCATATTTTGTCAATGATACTAATTTATCTAAAGAAGCAGTTATAAAACTAAAACTGTCCTTAACACTTAAACAATCAAAACCGATATTAATAAACTTTTCACTGTTCTGTGCTATTACATCTATTTTCTTCTGATTACTTAACTTATCAGCATTTTGAATAATTAAATGTCCATCATAATTTTTCATATTATGAAAAAACACTGGAATTTTAAAGTATTTATGACAAAAGTTTAAATTACAAACGCTATGAGCACAACCCCTATATTTACCTGTGAAATGACAATGGTCACGAACCTTCTTATATTTCTCTGCTTCCTTTTCATTCTTATAATCATATCTAAATTTGTCACGCGAAGCGACGCGTGAGCTAAACGCGTCACCACAAATAAAACAATGAGTAGCATTTTTAAAGTCTTTCTTATTTTCAT